TCATGTTCGGGGGCAGACGGCACAAGTAATGGGAGAAATTCTGTTTCATTGATAAAAACGACGATGATGATGATGACGTGTGTTTCTGGAGCGCCTGGGTGGCTCAGTCAGTTAAGCGTCTGATTCTTGGTTTCGGCTCAGGTCGCGATCTCATGGTTTGGGGTTCAAGCCCTGCACTGGGTTCTGTGCTGGCAGCACAGAGCCTGCTTGGGATTCTGTCTCCCTCTCTCTCTGCCCCTCCCCCGCTTGCTCTCTACCCCTCTCTCTCAAAAATAAATAAAACAGGAGCTCCTGGATGGCTCAGTCGGTTAAGCGTCTGACTTTGGCTCAGGTCATGACCTCACGGTTTGTGAGTTTGAGCCCCGCATCGGGCTCTGTGCTGATGGCTCAGAGCCTGGAGCCTGCTTCCCATTCTGTGTCTCCCTCTCTCTCTGCCCCTCCCCCGCTCGTGCTCTCTCTCTCTCTCAAAAAGAAACATTAACAAAGATTAAAAATAAATAAAATAAACATTAAAAAAAAAAGATGTATGTTTCTGGCAGACACATGTGCACGAACAGAATGGGGTACCTTAGTAACCCCAGTATCCTGTCACCGGAGAATCGGCATCCTTGAGGAAGGAATCTGTCTAACGCTAAGGAAGATTCGGTCATCTGATCCCAAGTGGAATATGAGGGGAATTATGCCATCTGATTTTTTCTGTCATCTGTCTCCTTTATGCGTAAGATGTTTGCTGGAATCCTTAAACAGGCATTCTTAATTTATTGTACTATGGATTTCCTTTGAAGTCTAATTGATCCTATATACATCTTCTTAGAAGAAATACCTAAGTACATACTTAACAAAAAAAAAATAGTGCCAGATTGAAATAGTTTCCAAAATATCTTTAAAATGTTTGCTATAGTGGTGTTTGTGCTTCTTCATTCGCACTTCAAATAGCAAAATAACAATTACAACATTTTGAGGTTCTCGTGAGCATTAACAATGTCCTGAGAAATCTGTAACCGCAGTTAAGTGCTGGGACTACAGCTGTGATTCCCTTGTCAACGAAGCCACCAGTATGGCTAATCTGACCGCCCTGGTTGCTCTTCGGTATTCATGATGGAAAGGAATGCTAAATTCCAGGTAATGGTTAGCGAAAACGAAAAGTTTTCTCCTCTAAGACTACTCTGTCAGTTGAGCAGAGAGTGGGTTTTAGGGAGACAAGATTAAGAGCACTGAGACTAGGGAGGGACAGTAATCCATGCGTGCCCTAGATGACGGGGTCTGGACAAACACGGTGGCGGTGGAGACGGTGGAAAGTAATCACACGACAGAAACATACAGGAGATAAAATCCACGTGGCTTGCAGACAGATTGAAGCAGAGGCTGAACAAAGGAACTAACAGGAAAAATACCACATTTCTGGCTTGAACAACCGTGCGAATGGGGCAGCCCCATGGGTGCAACGAACCACGGAGATTGAAAACGCTCTGTCAGGGGACACTGCGAATCCTCGCGGGGAGAATTCAGAGGTGGCTGTGTGATAGCAGAGAAGTGATGCTGAGGAGTAAGCAGCTGAAGTTACTGGTTAGAATTCATAGAGAGCGTGGGACCGCAGATATTGATTTGTGCGTCTGCCATAGGTGTTCAGAGCGAGGGGTACGGTTTAGGCTGCCTGGAGAGAGAGTCTAGTCTAGTGTCCACTAGCCACATGTAATTGAGCACTTGAAATGTTGCAGGCCTGAACTAAGACATGCCGTAAGAGCAAAATGCACATGGGATTTCAAAACCCTAATTTTTTAATATGCAAATTATAATTTTTCTCTTTATTACATGTTGAAATTATACCCTTATTTTGAGACGGGGGGCAAGTGAGTGAGAAGCGGAGAGAGAGAGAGAGAAGCAGGGCTCACCCAAAGCGGGGCTTGATGTCAGCCGATGTGGGACTCAAACTCGCGAACCGTAAGATCATGACCTGAGCCAAAGTCAGATGCTTCACCGACTGAGTCACTGAAATTATAATATTTTTGGTATATTAAACAAAATGTTTGACTAAAATTACTTTCACCTGTTTCTTTTTTGTACCTTGAATGTGGCTACTGGAAAGTTTAAGGCGACATACGTGGCCAGTATTTGTGGCTTGCATTATATTTCTACTGGACATTTTTGAAATTAAAAACATAGGCTCTGCGAAAGACACTGGTAAGAGAATGAAAAGACAGACCACAGATGGAGAAAATATTTGAATATCATGTATCTTCTAAAGGACTTGTATCCAGAACATATTTTTCAAAACGCCTGAAACTCAAGAGTAAAGTAAACCCAATTAAAGAACAGGCAAAAGATCTGGACAGACAGCTCCCCAAAAAGATATACAGATGTCAGACAAGCATATCACAAGATCCTCAACATAACTGTCATTAGGGAAATACAAATTAAACAACGAGGTATTATACACCTACTAGAACGGCTAAAATCCAACACGTGACATTACCAAATGCTGACGAGGGTATGGAACAAGAATTCTCGTTCACCCCTTGTGAGGATGCTCAAAGGCACAGTCACTATGGAAGACAATCAAAGAGTTCCTCACACAGCTAAACATCCAAGCCAGCAACTGTGCTCCTGGTGACATTTTCCCAACGGTCTGAAACTATGTCCACACAAACCTGCACACAAGTATTTACTTTTATTTATTTAACATTTATTTACTTTTGAGGGAGACAGACAGGCAGACAGATGGGGGGGTGGGTAGAGAGAGGGAGACAGAGGATCTGAAGCAGGCTCCGAGCTGTCAGCACAGAGCCCGAATCGGGGCTCGAACTCACGGACCCTGAGATCATGACCTGCGTCAAAGTCAGACGCTTAACGGACTGAGCCACCCAGGGCGCCCCAAACCTGCACACAAGTATTTATAACAACTTTACTTACAAGGGCTAAAAAGTGGAAGGAACCAATCCCTTGCAATAGGTAAATGGATAGACAAACTGTGGTATATCCATACAGCAGAGTTATTCAGTGATAAAAAGCAACAAGATATTAATCCACATAACAAAAATGGATGAATCTTAAATACATGCTGATAAAGGAAAGCACCAGACCGAAAAATGGTACCTTTCAACTCCAGAGTTGATAAGAATGTGGGAGCTGTGTGGATACCTGCTGTTTCATAAGGTATAATCAGTGCAGCTTGACCCCGACTGGAGATGATGCCCCTTTCCTATACAGTGTGGCACAGATGTCCCATCTGCTAGCTCCCCGAAGGACCCCCAGCTAAGGCGTTCAGCAGCTGTCTATGTACAGAAGCACGTGATTCTTTTCTCCTATGAATTTTTACTACACATATTTAATCAAATGGTGCTAAAGTTTGGGTTTTTCTCTGCAAAAATGTATATGCATTAAATCTATTTAAAAAAAATTTTTTTTAACGTTTATTTATTTTTGAGACAGAGAAAGACAGAGGATGAACGGGGGAGGGTCAGAGAGAGGGAGACACAGAATCTGAAACAGGCTCCAGGTTCTGAGCTGTCAGCACAGAGCCCGATGCAGGACTCGAACTCACGGACCACGAGATCATGACCCGAGCCGAAGTCGGCCGCTTAACTGACTGAGCCACCCAGGCGCCCCAACATTAAATCTATTTTTTAAAAGGGAAGAATAAAAATAGAAATTAACAAATTGGGGACTCCAGATAGACCACAGGTCTCTGGGAAGTAGTTATAATAATTTGATCCCTTCTTTTTAATGTCCATTTCTATGGCCTTTATCACTGATCCTTTTTTAAGTTTATTGATTTATTGATTTTTTATTGATTGAGAAAGAGTGAGAGTTGGGGAGGGGTAAAGAGAGAGAATCCCAAGCAGGCTCCGCACTGTCAGCAAAATGCGAGATCATGACATGAGCTAAAGCCAACGGTCAGATGCTTAACCAACTGAACCACCCAGTGCCCCATCACTGATTTTCTTTAAATGCTTGTGGGCTCTCTAAGAAGCATCCAGATGATTATGATCTTGTACCCAAAGTCACGTGACTTGAATACTGGGCATCCTATTTTGATAAATACCATATGACCCGATTTGGGACGTCTCGGTATTTGAGTCCAGTAATAGCACAAATGCGAGTTTAATGATCCAATCACAAAACAAAGATGATCCTATTAGAACTTGTAAGAAGTTATGCAAAAGAGAGTCAACTCAACTCACGTTATCTGTTTGCCACGCTGATTGTGGTTAGCCTGACTATTGGGTAACACATGTGAATTAGGTGTCGCGGCAAGATCTCCACTCTTGTCAATCTGTTCAACAAATAGCCCAGTTTAGGGATGGCAATAAATGTTCAAATGAAGTCAGATCAACAAACTGAGCTTTGGTTCTCAAGTATCAGCAGTTAATGGACAGCTAGCCTGATCCACAGGACATTTTTCACACACCAGCCAATGTAAAGTGGAAGCAAAACAGGTAATAACCTAATGCTCGGGTACTAGACGGTCCTGAGTTTTTCCACAGCTCCAGGCTTCTTGCCTGGTAATCTGAGGGGGTACTTAAAACTAAGACTCCTAGAGAAAGGCAAGCCATATTCCCATGGCCCTCACGGCCCATGGAAGGACCTCTCCTCCAAGGACACAGGATTATTGCGACTTCTGTTCAAATGACTCCCCTTTCCAAATTGCTTCACCTAGATCTCAAGCCTCACTGAAAAGTGCAGATGTAGGATTATATAGATTATATATTTTCATACATAACATGCATTATAAATATGTATAACAAATATGTACTTGAAACTAAAAGACAGTCCATGCAACCACTCTAGTGAGAAGTTATTTCTCAAGCATTTTCTTCAAGCATATTCTACGGTGAGCAAAGTAAACTTAGCAAGCAGTGAAATCAATTTGCTGGTAAAACCACAAGTTTCTCTAGATGGAAGCCCGACTCACATTAACTAAGAGCTTATACAGTCCCTTCAGAATTGTGGGTGGCTCTTAAAAGAGCCTTTGGGTTATAAACCTTGTCTAGTGATGGGAGCTCTACTTGGCGCTGGTGTACTTGGTGACGGCCTTGGTGCCCTCGGACACGGCGTGCTTGGCCAGCTCCCCGGGCAGCAGCAGGCGCACGGCCGTCTGGATCTCCCGGGACGTGATGGTCGAATGCCTGTTGTAGTGCGCCAGGCGCGACGCCTCACCCGCGATGCGCTCGAAGATGTCACCGACGAAGGAGTTCATGGTGTTCATGGCCTTGGACGAGATGCCGGTGTCGGGGTGCACCTGCTTCAGCACCTTGTAGACATAAACAGAATAGCTCTCCCTGCGGCATCGCCTGCGCTTTCCTTCCTTCTTCTGGGTTTTGGTTACAGCTTTCTTGAAGCATTTCTTGGAAACGGTCGTGCCGTTGGAAATCGGCTCCGCCATGGCTACTGGATAGCTCCGATCAGACTAACAGACTGCAGGGCGACAAGGGTGGTATTTATAGGCACGGCGCTCAATGACGCATCGGGCAGCCAACATCTGATTGGATGATGGTACATGGGGTGATTCCAGGAAGGTCCTCAGATTGGATCCCAGACGATCAGCCAATCAGATAGCAAATCACAACCCAAGTCAGACTATAAATAGGCCCTGTACCTGCCCTAACGGAAATTTTTTCCGTTAGAACCCGTTTAGGCGTTGGCGGTGTCTGGGCGCAGGAAGCAGGGCGGCAAGGCTCGCGCCAAGGCCAAGACGCGCTCGTCGCGGGCCGGGCTGCAGTTCCCGGTGGGCCGCGTGCACCGCCTGCTCCGCAAGGGCAACTACGCCGAGCGGGTCGGGGCCGGCGCGCCGGTGTACTTGGCAGCCGTGCTGGAGTACCTGACGGCCGAGATCCTGGAGCTGGCGGGCAACGCGGCCCGCGACAACAAGAATACGCACATCATCCCGCGCCACCTGCAGCTGGCCATCCGCAACGACGAGGAGCTCAGCAAGCTGCTGGGCCGCGTGACCATCGCGCAGGGCGGCGTGCTGCCCAACATCCAGGCCGTGCTGCTGCCCAAGAAGACCGAGAGCCACCGCCACAAAGTTCAGAGCAAGCAATGTCTCACAAGCAGTAAATCCAGCAAGTGACCTGCGCTTCCGGAGAATGGAGAAAAACAAACCCACAACTGAATCAAAGGCTCTTTTCAGAGCTGCTCACAGTTTCTGAGAAACCGCTTGGGCTTGGAGACCGCTGATTCAGCAACGAATAAGGATTTAATTGACCACAACTCTTTTTATACAGGACTTTGGAAACGACCGGTTGATTCGGACTGTGGTCTCTGAAGCAGTTCACCTTAATGAGCAGTACACTTGGCAATGGAGCTGATGGACCTTGCCCTTCAGAGTCTGCAGAGCTGCTACCTAGCGGGCTCCTGGGGCAGAAGCGCCATTTTCCAGGGGTGGGGGAACGGAGCCAACTTAGATGTGGGCTGTTGTGACCACCCAATCCCCATGAAAAAGACTGAAAATGTGGAATCTTCCTGTAGGATTTGTGTTTTAATGAGGGTAGAGTTAGACTACATGAAGATTAGAAGCAAGTAACGTGCCTGCAGGAGGTCAGCCAAGGAGCTAGCGAATCAATAGGCATCTATAGGCATATTTTCTCAAGTGCCCACAGCAAGGGCTTTCCTTCCATTCCAAGAGCTCTAGGATTCTTCCATATCCTGAAGTCTGTAACCATGACCTGCTAATTAGCCAAAAGCTAAAAGGCACAAATATTTCACACCCATCTGTGAAAAACAGTAAAAAGGGATAGGAGGTATATTTCTCAGGGTGTTCTACCTCAAAATGCCTGATACCATTTTGATGGTAAAAATCCTAGCAGCAATATTCGAGTCTGTAAGGTGACAAGGCAACTTTCTATCAATTATTTGAGAATACTAGGAACTGATTTCCAGAGGTTTACCCACTTGAAGCAAATATCTTTTTTCAAGTTTATTTTGAGAAAGTGCGTGCAGGTGCGGAGGAGGGGCAGAGCGTGAGGGGTGGGGGGAGAGAATCCCAAGCAGGATAGGATCCACACTGTCCACACAGAGCCCAATGCGGGGCTGGATCTCACAGACCAGGAGATTGTGACCTGAGCTGAGATCAACAGTTGGACGCTTAAGCCACAGGCTACCCAGGGGCCCGCAAATGTTTTCCTGATCCTTTAGTATTGCATACGAGCAAAAAACCCACAAAACATGAAAAAGGAGAGCAGCCAAATGCAAAAGTCTTGTACAAAAATGAAATCATTAAAACTCCAAACACAACGCAAAACCAAAATCTGCACATTACATGAGCTACAAAAATTCCTTAAACGTTCACAAAATTAAAACTTAACATCTTTGTCTAAACCTATAAAATTGGAAGTGTCTCACAATTATAAGGACACATGAAATAAAACCTATGTTAACTTATTTAAAAATACTGCTGTGGGGCGCCTGGGTGGCGCAGTCGGTTAAGCGTCCGACTTCAGCCAGGTCACGATCTCGCGGTCCGTGAGTTCGAGCCCCGCGTCAGGCTCTGGGCTGATGGCTCGGAGCCTGGAGCCTGTTTCCGATTCTGTGTCTCCCTCTCTCTCTGCCCCTCCCCCGTTCATGCTCTGTCTCTCTCTGTCCCAAAAATAAATAAAACGTTGAAAAAAAAATTAAAAAAAAATACTGATGAGATATAAGGATTTCTTGAAAAATATAAATTGCTTAAATTAATGTTGGAAATGAGTGAGAGCTAAGATACGTGGGGAGAAAACACAGCTCACCAATGAGCTACCAGCCTCAAAGACAGGCTTCCGAGCATGTACCCTCTTAGACGTTTAAGGAAAAGACAAATCTACAGCGAATGAAATGGTTCCAGGTTCTGAAAACAGTCTGTGTTGAAGAGATATGATAACATCCAATGAAGGAAGCATGCTCCTTGTACACCTCTGGCTCGTGCAAACTGTGTTAGATGAGAAACTTTTAATGAATAAAATAAATAGGACATTTTTGGTGAATGTTGGCTGTCTCTCATTTATGAAGTCAGGAAGCCCGAGCAAGCACTTAGTCAAAGAAATGTAATATTCCACTGGAATCGGGCTGTGGAAAAATGGGGCATGGGGGGGATTAAAGACAAATGATACTGGGAAGGAACCAGGACAAAGAAGCCTTGATGCTGAAGCCCAGAAGTGGAAATAAGTATACCTGATCACCATCGAAGGGGGCGAACAAAGAGCACAGGGGTTAAATGAGCAATCGTGCTCGAAGGTTAGGAGACAGTCCAAACAAGGGGAAGCGCCTCACCGCTACGAGTTAACGGGTTACACAAGCATGTAATCCGGGAATGACAGCATTGATAAAATTCAAATATGCACATTTATATTCAATTCTTTTTACTACAACACACATTAAGAAATACATTTCAGGGTCGCCTGGGTGGCTCAGTCGTTTAAGTGTCTGACTTCAGCTCAGGTCACGATCTCACAGTTCATGGGTTCGAGCCCCACATCGGGCTCTGTGCTGACAGCTCGGAGCCTGGAGCCTGCTTCGGATTCTGTGTCTCCCTCTCTCTCTGCCCCTCCCTGGCTCATACTCTGTGTGTCTTTCTCTCTTTCAAAAATAAACATTAAAAATATTGTTTTAATGAAAAAAAGAAATACATTTTATATTATGACCGAGGTCACACTGGGAAATACACATGCATACCAGTAACTACAAGGAAAGATTTCAGAAACAGCACGCCATTGTGGAAGGATTCTGAGATTGCTCTTCTCCATCATTCTGTTTTGTTCTACTGTTTCCTGGCATCTCCTACTTCATGAAGGGTTCACAACCTGCTGTGCAGAACACTAGGATGATTAAAAATGGCCAAAGCAGCCACAGCCTGCAGATTTCGCCAGTAAAGGAAGCGCACTCTCTGAGCCGCAATGAGTGGCAATGCTGCCTGAGCTGAGCCACTAAGAATGTTCCCTGAGACTTCCAGCCTGGAGTGTGAAGGGACGCATCCGGAGGGCCGCAGGGCAGTCTGAAGACTTTAGAAACTTGATCCATAGATGCCAGTGGCTGAGTCGCTCTTGCTCTTAGAGAAATTTAACAAAATGAAGGTGACACCAGAAAAAAAAAAAATGTGTGGCTGCTGAAAGAGAATAGAGGATGTCTATGTTTCTGTGTCAGTCCCAGCAGCCTTGATTTCCGTTCTCAGGGTAACCACAGCAGAAGGCCCTTAATACCTCCCTCTCTGTACTTAATCTATTTCAGTGATGGGTTTCTTTCACTTGCAAGCACATTTTTGTCTGGCAAATTCATGTGGTACAGCACAAATCCTATCTCCAGCACCATGGTCAATTAAATGCGTTTGGTCTTTAATCCTGGACCCTCATCACAGTACTCTTTTGGGTGAAATGAAATGGCCTTTTTTACTTTAATGTGCATTTATTTATGTATTTATTTTAATTTTTTTAACGTTTGTTCATTTTTGAGAGAAAGACAGCAGGAGAAGGGCAGAGAGGGACACACAGAATCCCAAGCAGGCTCCAGGCTCTGAGCTGTCAGCACAGAGCCCGACACAGGGCTTGAACTCACGGACTGCGACATCGTGACCTGACCTGAAGCCGGACACTTAACCGACTGAGCCACCCAGGAGCGTATTTATTTTGAAGGGGGTGGGGGCAGAGAGAGAGGGAGAGTGAATCCCAAGCAGGCTCTGTGCTATGAGCACAAACCTTGAGATCATGACCTAGGCCAAAATCAAAAGTCAGAGACACTTAACCAACTGAGCCACCCAAGAGCCCCTGAAATGGCCTTGATTTTAATCAAGGGTATCACTGAGAGATAACTGGCGAATAAGGGAGAAGAGGCAGAGAAACGACGTGAATGTTAGCTAAGGGATGGAATTTTCCTCTTTCTTCCAATAGTATAAGGCAATTAAGAAAACTTAACGCCAACATGGGGTATGGCTGGCCGTCTGAGGCTATTTTTGGATCGACAGAACGTTGTGACTCTATTCTATGGGGTCATCAACCCAATCCTATCCTGTGCTGCTAGAATCCAGATGAGGGCAGTGACATAAGCCAGTCTGTCACTTATAGTTTCTTCCCTTGCCCCACGAGTCCTCTGAAATCCTGATATTTACCAGAACTGGACCACATTTAACTTTCTACTTAGTAGAAATAAAAGTGGCATATAATTTTCTTCCCATCTTAAACTACTGGATGTTCTTACACAGTGTGTTAACCAAGCAATAATATATGGCCATCATGTAACAATGACACCCAAATAACACGATGCTGAAAATAAGAACAAACTTGTTGCATTCCCTGGAAAATAACAATATTGTTGGATCACTGACAGTTTCCCTTTAAAATCTGGCAGCAAAATTTGGGAATCCCCAAATGAATCTCCTCTCCCTTTATCACAGAGAAATTAAATATATAAATTAAATATATATATGCATATAGATTTATATATACATAT